TCTCGGTTTACTTTTTCTCCTTTTTCTTCTCCACCAATGTTGCGTCATTTTGAGTCTAATACGATCAGTTGCAATGATAAAGTCCAAAATTTATGTTTTGATCGGCTGATTTATGCATTATGCAGAAAATTATGTACTTCATCTCTTTGGTTCTAGAAAACCTGGCACTATCGTCAGATGATAATGAGGACCTTGTTTACTGTTTGAAGGTAAATATCGAATCATAAATTTAACACTTTTTCTTTTTCCAGTTCTTGCTTCATGCAGATGGGTTTTGTAATAAGGATTATTAAACCTATGTTTGGATATGGAATTCTTTTTCTTTTGTTTTATAAGAATTCAAGTCAATTGGAAGAATAGGATAAGAGTAGGGGACTTCTTCTTTTGTTTACATTTCCAAGATGCTGGCTAAATATTGCAGTACCGCCAGTTGTTTAGGTCAGTGGGTAATGTTCTACTTCAAACCCATTACCTTTGTGTTTGTCTTCAGGAGGCATAAAGATAGCCTATACATGTACTTCCTGGTGCTAATAAAGTGTAAAATGTCTTACAAAATTACAATTTATTTTTTTCTTTCTTAAAGTATAGTGATTTGATTTCTTTCGTTTCTTATGAAGGGGTGGGATCGTGCTATAAACATGTTAAACAGTAACAGCGATGACTGGGCATTATGTGCAAAATCAGTCCTAGACAGAACCCGCCTTGCACTTGCAAACAAGGCAGAATCGTATCTCAGTGTTTTACAGCCATCAGCAGAGTACCTTGGATCACAGCTTGGAGTGGACCAATCAGCTGTATGTATTATCTGTCTTCAAAACTAAAGCATTTTGTTTCATATATGTATCATATAGCTTTGTTGTTTCTGTGCTCATAATTATTTCTTGCAGGTGAACATATTTACTGAAGAAATTATCCGTGCTGGATCAGCTGCCTCTTTGTCCTCGCTCCTTAATCGACTGGATCCAGTTCTTCGAAAGACTGCTCATCTGGGAAGGTTGATTGTACTTCCATTGTTTAGCCAATCATATCATGTCTAATCTCAAATAGTTAGAGATTGAATGGTAATATAAAGGAATAAATGCACTCTGATGTGTTATAAAACTAAGAAGATTTAACAGCAACATTATTTAACATATATCACTTACATGGGGTGATAATTTTCTGATGTTACTTTGGTTAACCTGGACAGCTGGCAGGTTATCAGCCCACTGGAAGTGGTTGGATATGTGGTCGTTGTGGATGAATTACTCACTGTTCAGAATAAAGTTTACAGCAAGCCCACAATTTTGGTGGCAAAAAGTGTAAAAGGTGAGGAAGAAATTCCAGATGGTACTGTTGCTGTGCTGACACCTGATATGCCAGACGTCCTATCTCATGTCTCTGTCCGAGCAAGAAATAGCAAGGTAATCACTCATCAATCATAATTTTCTTTCCATAATAGTTGACATGTTTGGTAAAATAACCAACTTTTTATTTGCAGGTTTGTTTTGCAACATGCTTTGACCCCAATATTCTGGCTGACCTCCAAGCTAGTGAAGGGAAGTTACTACGTATAAAGCCAACACCTGCTGATATAACTTATAGGTACTTTTTTTCTTTGTAGCTTGATCATGAAAAATGTTCATATGTTGTCTCCTATTATGTGCTGACAAAATGGTTTCAGGTGCCACTCGATAAAAGTTTCAATGCGTTATAATTTCCATTATTGAATGACTTGTCTCTCAAATACGTTATTTACTTTTGTTTCATGTATAATTTCAGTGAGGTTAATGAGGGTGAGCTAGAAGATGCAAGTTTAACTCATTCAACAGAAGACACTCCATCTCTGACATTGGTCAGGAAACAATTTACTGGTAGATATGCCATATCATCTGATGAGTTCACAAGTGAAATGGTAAGCTTGAATTTTTTTTCAACTTACAGCTATGGAGTTATTTTCTGTTTCCTTCATTTTTTTTGTTTTTCACTATTGACTGGGTTTTAATCCCTTTATAAAAGACAAATTCTTAGACTATGCAATTTCCTAATTTTTGATATTTTGTATAACTTCTGTGGTGATGGCAGGTTGGAGCTAAATCACGTAATATTTCTTATATAAAAGGAAAACTGCCGTCTTGGATTGGAATTCCTACATCAGTTGCCCTACCATTTGGAGTATTTGAGAAGGTTCTTTCAGAAGATTCAAATAAGGTTTTCTTCACCACAAATCTTATAATGTCGGGTATATTTGTTAGAATTTTCATTGTAACTCAATTGTTGTCTCTTGATTACGATCAAATTTACTACGGAAGGGGTTCCAGATTGTGAAGATGAGTTTACTTGATACTGAAATTAATGTCTAACAATTTATGAGGTGGAACTCTGTTACTCTTCAAAAAATTTAATGAACGCAGTGATGGAAATGCAACTGTATTTGATGTAGCTTCAGTACTGTATGGTTGATATAGAAAGAGGAATTTTTTTATTCGTCGACTGAAAAAGGAAAAAACAAGAAGCAATGTTTAAGGAAGCCACATGACTAAGATGTTACTCAATCACCGAGATCAATTATATAAGATATATAAACTTAAAATGAATTTGGTTACTTGTGTTTTGCATTGTTCTTGTCTAATGTTATAATAACACTACCTTATGAGGACAAACGAGGGTTCCATTCCATCTGCTTGCAATCCATTATGTATTTAGTCAAGTTTCATATTTATTGTATAATGCTCTAGTCTGACACTCTCGTGTCTGTTTACTTTATAGGCAGTGGCTGAAAAGTTGGGAACTCTAAAGAAAAAGTTAAAAGGTGAAGATTTTGATTCGCTTAGGGAGATTCGGGAGACCGTTTTACAGCTGGCAGCACCACCCCAGTTGGTATGTTTTTGCTACTAGCAGGTTTTAAAAGTTTTATTTTTTGTCAAAACAACTCATAATAGGTTGCAAAGCATGCAATTTCCATTTCATAGTCTACAATCACATGAACGCTGCAGGGGTATTCCAATCTCTAAAGTGTTATGTATGGCATCCCATCACCCGTTTTCCAACATAAATTGTAAAGAAACAAAGACTAAAAATGACATTTCTGATTGGTGACCAAGCAAGAAATTTCATATTTCTATGTATGGGTTTTGTAGACCTTTCCTTTACTCTCATAAACTAAAATTCAAGTGTGAATTACAGGTTACCGGTTTGCTTCTTTTGTTATCTTGATATAACATAAAATCCAGTATTGCTAGTTATAAGGGAAATTAACTCTATGGAGCCTCCAGGCAGAATGATACAGTTTAAGTGAACGATACTAGCTCATGTGGCAAGTTATTTTCAGGTCCAAGAGCTGAGGACTAAGATGCAAAGTTCAGGAATGCCTTGGCCTGGTGATGAAGGTGAACAAAGGTGGGAACAAGCATGGATGGCTATAAAAAAGGTAAGACTGCTTTGCTAACATTGTGAGTTGCCAGTAGAGCTAGGAATTTAACCATTCCTAATATTATTGTTGGGGAAATAGTACCTTTAAGTAGTAATATATATGGGCCAGCCAGCATTGTGAGTTGACTCTCTGCTGTTTTTTAGTTCTCTTTGCTTATCACAAATTACATTACATGATATCCGAGTTCAAGTCGTCTGCTAACTAATGCTGATCAAATTGTTCTATCCAAAACTTTCTGATATATTGGGGCATTCTCATCTGTTATAATCCAGGTCTGGGCTTCAAAGTGGAATGAGAGAGCATACTTCAGCACAAGAAAAGTGAAATTAGATCATGATTATCTCTGCATGGCTGTCCTTGTTCAAGAAATCATAAATGCTGACTATGCATTCGTTATTCACACGACTAACCCATCATCAGGAGACTCATCAGAGATATATGCTGAGGTATTTGGTGGTTTTTAAGCAAGATATATTTTCAACTAGTATCAGTGACATTGATTTGGGTCGTTTTTTCTGTGATAGGTTGTTAAGGGACTTGGGGAAACCCTGGTTGGAGCTTATCCTGGACGTGCTCTAAGTTTTATTAGCAAGAAGAATGATCTGGACTCACCCCAGGTAATACATTTTTGTGCATCTCTCACCAAAAGTTACATAAGAGTCCATGGAGGGCAATGAATTGCGTTGTTAATTTCTTGAGTGATGACGACTTGGTTATAGGCTTTCACAGACCCTACTAATCCTATCACAACCATGTAATTGGGGAATGTGCATCTTTTTTTCTTGGACCTGCCATTGTTTGCACTCATGAGTATGTGGACATTTTCAGGTGTTGGGTTACCCTAGCAAACCCATTGGCCTCTTTATAAGACGATCCATAATCTTTCGATCTGATTCCAATGGTGAAGATCTTGAAGGTTATGCAGGTGCAGGCCTTTATGACAGGTAGACTCCCATACAACTCTCCCAGGCAATAAGCTTCCATCAATAGATGATCGACTAATTGTAAACTAATCGCTACACTCAGCCAGATTCATTGTCGGGCATTTTATGTTTGCATAGATAATGTATGCACTTAAGAATTCAATTAAATATATATATTTTTAAAATCTAATATCGTTGCTTGCTATTGACAGTGTTCCTATGGATGAGGAAGAGAAAGTTGTGCTTGACTATTCATCTGACCCACTGATGGTTGACGGAAACTTTCGCAAGTCAATCCTCTCTAGCATTGCTCGTGCCGGAAGTGCAATTGAGGAGCTGTATGGGTCTCCACAAGACATTGAAGGTGTGATCAGGGATGGGAAACTCTATGTTGTCCAGACAAGACCCCAAATGTGATCTATTTTTGTATTAAATTCTTTATAGGATTTGGGCTATAGACATTGTTTTGTGTAGAAGGAAAAAAAGAAAGAATAATGAAACAAATAATGAGGAGGACATGTCCGTGGCAATATGAACAATTTACACGAGGCTTCATTTGTATTGTATTTACTGGAAGTAATATATAAATGTTTATTATATATAATAGCATAATATTTACATGAAAGATGTCATCTTTATTTATTTCAAATATCAACATCTCTTGCTTTGCTAATTGCTGCGAGAAATTATAAAATAGCCAGATCAACTTGCATGTCTGTCTGTCTCTCAGCAGTCGGAAGTAAATCCAGAGAGATCCATCCACACTTCATTTAAGCGCCCAGAAAGGTGATATGAAGCATTGTACTGGGCAATCGCATAGGAGCTCTTGTCTTCCAAAATTGCAGGCTTTCCATTCAAGTGCTTATTTAGGCTGTTCACAAGAGTTTCAAATTCTTTCTGAAAATGGTCATCCCTGGCAAACCCTGTAAACTTTCTGACTGCTATGCAATGGCTTCTCCACTTATCAAACTGCAGATTCAGATCACCGGAGGGCTGTGGAGGTGTTCTTTCATATTTGGCAGGCAGATACAGCCTTACATAATATTCTGCTGGCCCATGCACTGATGGGACAATGCTTGTTAAGACAGGGGCAGTCATGGTAATTTCTGAAGTGTTAAGGTTAGCTCCGTGAATATACTGATACAACCTGATCAAATTCAAACCATATTCATCCAAAAAAATTATATAAAAAAAACAATTTGAGAAAAATGAATAATGGAGTGTTGGTAAATTGACCTGTGAAAGCCATCTTTGGTGGCTTTTTCAAAGGAGGTTGTTTCTCTGACAAGAGCAGACATCCATGAGGATTCTCTGTACTGTCTGAGCTCAAAATCTGATTCTGAGTGCACCACCTTGTACTGAGGTGATTCAATAGACTGACCAGAGAGTACAAGTTTACAATTGTAAAGGTAACAACACATTACTATCAAGATTAACAATGGCCTCTCCATTTTGTGAAGTATGTGATGCCTTGTGCTCTGTCCCCCTAGGGGGCCTCTGGCTTTATAAGCAGCAAAGCAGGACAGGTTTCATGTTGTGACTTGTGTTGAGACTTCAGAGTCGCATCAATGATTTAAATCTTGAACCTCTTCACCTATTGTCAATTAATTTTAAATTGAATGCTCGTATATGCGCACATGTTTTTAGTGGCTCTAGTTCTTCCCACCATCTCCTTTTGCTGTTCACCACTTGTAAAATATGAACCAAAATCAAATGATGTTTGCCACTTCACTGTACTATTACATAGAATAATTTGACCACTAACAAAAATAGACTGGAAGCAAAAGGGTATCTCTCTCACTCACCCCTCACCACTACTGATTAGAGCCTTACCAACCCCAAAAAGTCCCTATGGAATCTTGAGTGGAACCAATATAAGACAATACTGATCAGCAACAATCAAAACTTTGTTATTTATCTTCCAATGAGTTCCTTCGAGTCAAATATTTATTCCACATTGCGTATCATGAAATTTATTTACTTATCTTGCTTAGTGGATTGGAATCGGTAATGGCTCGATAGAAAGGAATCTCTTTTATAAAAGCTTAACGTTTAATATGCATTTTAACCCATTCTCAAACATAAACACTCGACAGCAGGAACATAATCTATGCATTTCATCAAATCACAACCCTCCTTCAAAGTAAGGTTTGCAATTTGGCAAATAAGCCCACACTTTCTTTCAAGTTGGGTTGGGCTAACATTCGGGTCCAAATGCAAGGTAATGGGCATTAATTGCCTCGAGTTTATCAATTTGGGCCGAGGCAATCAATTAAACCAAGAGCCTACTAAATGCACCCAAAAGATTGAACAGTGCACTCAATTTCAAAATTTTGGGTGCATTAAACACCTTTAAACTAGGTAGATACCAGTTAGGTCAGTTGGTCCGTTGCACTCAAGTTCGGACCCCCTTCTCTTAGGTTAGAAAAATTTAGACTATCACATGTATTCAATAATAATAATAATAATAAACCCTCTAAATTGTCATGAATGTTATTTTGAGACATTTCCACTTTTACCACTCACTGATTGAACAAATGTATGTTTGCTCTGGGTCATTTTCCGCAGTTCCAATCATATAACACAAAAGTCCAAAGTTCAAAATAGTTCGTATTTGCTACAGTTATGACAAGGTTAAACCCTTAAAGCTCTTCTGTGCATGCTGGCTGCATAGATGGGCCATGGCCATGTAACAGCCAGCAAGATCATGATCAAACTACATGTGCAGTGCAGGGTGAATCAAGATATATGATTAATCATGATCCTCGTGTTCTCTCCTTAGCAAGCAATGCCAAGAGACTCCCCTTAAGATTATGTACTTGGTTCCAGCAACACAATCATGATGTGTTTTATGGCCCATGATATGATGGCCAAAGCATGCCCCCCAACCCCAAAAAAAAAAAAAAAAAAAAAGAGTTGGTAGAGAAGAAACATTCTTTTTCTAACAGTCAGTGTGTGGGCATGCAGTCGGCGACATTGTTCATCAATGGCTTCTTCTATGTTCGTTTGCTCATTAAGTTTTTTTTTTTTGAAGGATTAACTTCTTGTTGTTGTATATATCTTGGAAAGCTGGCCAAACTTGTTAGACAAAATCATTGCTTAACACTACTGTTCCACGCTTGGCAAAGCCTTTTCAATCTTCTCTTTTCCCACTTTCAAGAGCTTTTTTTTCATTTAAAATACTATATTATCTATATATATACATACACACCTACCCTACCCACTGAGGCAAGGCAAGGCAAGGCAAGAGTATCAATCTACAGTATGAATTCCAAGATAGATAAATACACATTTGCATAAAAAAAACAATCACTTCTTCTTCAAAAACAGAAAAAAAGAATGGTCGGCAGATAACTACACTTAAAAAAGAATTTAGTGTTGGGTGGTTGGTTGGTTCTAAATTCATTATTCTCAACTCTGTAAAACTGCCACCATTCTTTCTCACGATTCTATCCTTTTCATTTTATGTGGTTCAATTCTAAATTCAATTTCACTTTACAATTATTCCCCCTTTTAAGTAGAATGGTAAGGTTTGGTTGTTTGATGCATTCAGAGAAGAGAATAGATGCAGTGAACAGTTTTCTTCTGATACAAGATACTTAGATACCTACCCTATATATAATTGGTTGGTTCCCAGGAAGATGGAGGAAAACAAAAGTAATGTGTTAGATTCTACAATTATATCATTAACTCAAGTATATTAGTGGTATTTATTAATTGGAACTGTTAATAATAAGTTCTTAACACATTCTTAATGACCAAGTAAAGCATTGCATAAAGCTGTTCATTGAGGTCTAACTTAGTTATATTCCCCCCATATCCTAAAACTTCATGAACATGCTCTTTTTCAAGTGGGATCGGATAATTATGCAAAGTTGTGCGAAGGAGCTTTTGGACTTTGAATTCAAGCCCCCCATTGGATTCAGAAGATTGACCAACACAGAGAGAGAGAGAGAGAGAGAGAGAGAGAGAGAGAGAGAGGCTCATAAGACATAAAATAAGTCAAGGAATTATAACTATGTCATCATGACATGACCAAACTTGGAACTTTCATCTATTCCTTTGGGAGGGCTTTGATTACAATCCCACACCACACATATGATATGAAATTGGGCCACTCACTCCCGCAAAATGTGGCAATGGAATTCATTTTCATTCACAATTTCTAAGCCGCTCATGTTGTTGTTGTTGTTAAAGGTTTCTTCTAGGAATCGATACTCAAAAAGCTCACCTTTGGTTGCTTGTGGGGTTCTCAATCCATGTCAAGAAGCTGCTCATAGTCATGTTGTCGCTAAGTCACTTTCATTTTTCAAATGGCTTTGAGGCCAATGGGTCTTGGTCAATTCTATCACCGCCTTTTTCTCTGGGGTTGAATTTTAATTGAGAGAATTTTTTTTTTCCCACATAATTCACGAAGGAAATCTGCAAATTCCCATAATCAAGCACACAATCAAGCGGATCACTTACTTGACAACCAAGCACAATCTGGCTGATTATTTTCCTTAAATTCAAGACCTTTGATTTAGGATCTAGACTTGTATAATTGTCAATCACTCCTGTTGTCTAGCAATTCTCGCATTCTTACTGCAGTACTTGTATATATTTGTATGAAAACATTGTGAAATATATACAATGATACTAATTCTTTCAGCAAACCATAGTTACACACAATAATAAGGATCAAACCAACATGCCACTTCACAAAATCAAAGAAAAAGTATTATCAAAATCACATCACGAAATCGCTAAACTAATTACTAATTCTTAATTCAGTGGTATTTCACTTTTTATTGTTCCATGTAACATCACAAAATCATATTGGTTAATGTTGAACACTGAATTGGGAAAAAAGATTATTATTATTATTATTTTTTTGTTTTGAAAAGGGAAAAATGGTAAGTTGTTGAAGTGACCTTACTCATGTCATGCAACTCTTCTAGAGTCAATGCAAGTATGTAGTGCAGTACTGAAATGTCAAAAAGGTGAACTTTGGCTCCCATTCTGAGATGTCAAATAATATGCACACATAGTGGCCCTTGTTTGTGTGACTGTCACCAAAACATTCTCCTTTTCCTTTTTCCAGATGCCTCATAGCCTCTTACCAATATCATTGCCCCAAGGTGGAGACACCATCATTATATCTACTTATTATAAATAACTCCAATTAAAATTTTAAAATGAGGTTTAGGAAGAAATGACTAGTTATGGATAATAATATATGGCCTAGCTATAAGCCGCAAGGGCCCTCTGAAAGTATGGCACTGCAAAAGTTTTTTGGGATGTGCATAAATATTCTCTATGCAAATTCAACTATTATGAGCATTGATATATATACTCTGGACATATACTCATCAATTTAGCTGCTGCTGCTGTGTTTATAATTAAATTATCTCAGATTTTCAGCTTTTCTTCTCTAAGGTCGATGAAAAGGGAAACACTGAATTTTATTGTATGCATAACATCACATGGTTTCATCCGACAATACTAATTCAACCCTCCCAAAAGGACCAGGGACTATAAGCTTTTTTTTCTTTTTCTTTTCTTTCTTTTTGATACAAGCGATATTAGAAAAGGGGGTTTTCTCATACACACAGCTAAGGTGTCATGATGTTCGAACCTGAGACTGATAATCTGGAAATAAAAGTTTTTTTTTTTTTCCACTGAACTAGACCCTATTGGTTTTTTCTTTCTTTCTTTGCTACAGGATTCAGTCTTTTTTTTGCTACTGTACTACACTGTTGATATAAGTTGGATTTATTTATTTACTTGAAGCAGATTTTTTATTAATAAAAAAGGACACAATAATATTTAAGAGGATCCAAACCCCTTCTTATTTCCCATGCATGCACATATAAAATGGTCACGGAACATACGGTCATATTTGGTAATTAATAATTAATTGACTGGAACTTGTATTTTTACCTTGATTCTTCTGTGGCAGTAGTAAGAAACATTTATACTTTTAACGCACACGCATAGGTGATATCACTCGATGACTTGGGCTCTTTTATTTTATTTTCATTTTTGTGTATATATATATATATTCCTTTAAGACCCATAATTATTAAACCCGACCTTTTTCTTTTCAAAATATTGCCTTTGTTCCCCTTCAAAAGCAACTGCACATTACTTTAGCAGCCTTTCAATCAGCTTTAAGTTTAAAGGAATTTTGCCATAGACTGGCCTCAAATTAATTAATTTTTTAACCAAATTTGGTCCAAAACATTACGTTATTAAGCCTCATTAAGGAGATTTATGCAATTGCTAAATGACATACAAGCATGCACACAACACAGGACCAAACTACCGAGCCCACGCCCCTCCTCTATGCATCCATTTCTACGTATTAAATTCTCTATCCGAATTCCAAAACCACCCTACCATAATAATGCCAAAGCGTACAAGAAGGGTGTAATTGCCGATATTTGATAAACTCAAACCAAAATATGGTTTCTGCACCCGAGTTCAAATTCCTCTCCCTGTAGTTTAGATTAAATTAAAGTAAATTATCGCTTAGTAGATAGGATCATAGGAGGGTTTGGTTTGACTAATTAAGATATCTTTTAATTGTTTGTTTTGTGCCAACTTATCTGTATTCTGCAATGAGAATGATACGGCTTGGTGGGCCATTGCCTAGATGCTTTGTATTTGATATGTAAGTTGTAGAGTTGGGTGAGAGCGTAAGTAGGGCTCTCGTAAGATATAGAAAAAGAATTCGATTTAAAAGTACAAAATGAGATAAAGGAATTGCTGAGGAAGTGGCAGGCATCATTGCCACAGCCCTAAAAAGAGAACGAAGAAGGGATCTCGTATATATATACCCCACAAAAAAAAAGAACTTAAATATATATTACTGAAAAATTATATATTAATTGCAATAATATTAGCTAGTAAAATAGACAGCACACGTCATTAGATCATATGCTTACAAAGATGGTTTAATGCTACTGATTTGCATAGTAGACTCTAATTCTCCAATAAGATATTAATGAAATAGTACAAGTCAATTAGAAGGAACTGATAGCAATATTAAATATTCCACAGCTTGAACAGAATCTAATTCCAAGACAAGTTAATTTCAATTGTAATATATATATATATAAAGAACATATATCGGCTAGTATACGTGGGTTAGGCCAGTTAACCATAGATCATGTCTCCCAGAGTTGAATGCTGACCAGTGGAAGTTGGCTAGTCACTGTGTTTGTTTTTTATGTGTTGTTTTTCAGTAATTATAGCTACAGATAATAAACTTGAAAATAAAAACCCAAAAAGAAAATGAAGAGCCATAACATGGAGATGGGATGGGATCCTTCTATTTAGGGTGATAATTAGCAACAACTTTTAAATTAAACACCAATGTCTCCATCATCTAATTGAGTAAGTCAACTATGAAATTACATGCCAAAAGAAGTCAACTATGAGATTAATATTATTCTCCAGCAAGTAAAACAAAATATATATATATATATATATATATATATATAGAGCTTCCCTAGAGTGATATTTCAAATTAACTTATTTGAGGGACATCTTTGTAGGGCCCACTATGCATTGTATTTCACTAATCTAAACCGTCTAATTATTCAAAGATGATTTCTACAAAAAATCACTTGAATCCGATATTATTTGACCACTCAATTGTATTATTGGAATTTTAATACTTTCTTAAAGCATCGTGTTCATTAATTTTGTAGGATACAATTGGATGTTGAAACGGTTTCCGATTTGTCTAATTTTTTGCAAGGATGATCTATGAATGTAGATTTAAAAAATAAATGGTTTGGATCGTTAAAAAAATTCATAGGGTACCCAAAAGGCGTCCCTCAAATAAAATATTTGAGGGATCCCTTAATAGAAGGGAATTGTATATATATAATATTAATGATAATGATAATCTACTAAGAAACCCATTTATGGAGATAATTTTAATCAAACGCAAAATCAAGATTGAGCCCCTAAACGCAAAGGAACCATAATGTAATGCGCATGAAAATGCATGGGTGAGTGTACAAGCATGCAGTGACTGCACATAACCAGGTAGGCATGCCGACTGCCAGCTCAGCATACCCAACACAGTGATGCTTCAGAAAATTGGTTCACTCCCATAAAACGACAGCTTCAAAAGGTAGCTATGGTTCTCATCTCAGATGAAATTTACATAAAAAATAATGATAAAAAATTAGACGGCAAGTTTATATATATAAAAAATTAATGATACCCAAAAATAATAATAACTGTATGAAAATTAAATGTGTTAACTTATGGACTGTAAAACAAATTAAAATTTCCTATCAAAAAAATAAAAATTAAAAATGGAGATGGCCATGATATATAAACAGAGCAGCTGACACAAAGAACATCTAGGGAAGTGAGAAAGGGAACACCCAAAGCAAAGAACTTTGGAAACCCAGACTCAAGTGTAATTCCAATCTCTCTCTCCTTGGAGCAAGAAGTAAAGAATAACAGAAATCAGTCCCATTTTCCCCTATATAATTAACACAAAAGCTAAAGTTTCAGTCTTTGTATTGGAGACTGGAAACACACATTACACAACCTCTCTCTCTCTCTCTCTCTCTCTCTCTCTCTCTCTCTCTCCTCTCCTCTCCTCTCCTTTTTTTTTTAAATTTATTTTTTCCAAATTTAAAATTTTGAGCATGATTTCATCACTACCCAGCAGCATTTATAACTCCACACCCACATGGCCAAAACTTTAAGAAAACACAACCCATTTGCTTGTTATTTTAATCAGCTCGTGCCCAGAAGCTCATTTTGTCAGAACATAAAACTAAGCCTTGTTTTAGTCTTGGAGAGAGAGGAATAGAAGGAAAGTTTTCTCTCATTCTCATATTTTGGGGTTTCAAAAGCTTTGGAAATGGTGAGAGAGTGAGTCGGGTTTCTTAGAAGAATGGTCATCATGTATTGGATACTGGATTTGGTGGGAGCTGTGTTACCATGGACAAAAACTAGAAGCAATATTATATGGTGCTGTTTGGATGACAACAGAAGAAGACAATACCAACAACAACAACAAACGGATTCAACAAAAGCAACAAAACAAGAAAACTTCTCAGGCATGGCTTGTAGCTGGTCTAAGATTTCCCCAATCATTCCCATTCTTGTCTGCTTCCTTCTTGTAGCTTCTTCAATATGTCCAGTTGCCCATGCCTCCAAAATCAGCGGCGACCGCACCGCCAACCAGACTTTCAACCCGGAGCAAGAATTAAAAAAGCTGAAGATCATAAGGGCTCGTCTCAAGAAGATAAACAAGCCTGCTGTCAAGACAATTCAGGCATTTCTCGACTCTTAAACTTTGCTCTGTTTTGTTCTGTTTTTGCTCTGTTTTTGACTTAAAATGTGTTGTGTTCTTGTTTGCTGTTGCTGCAGAGTCCAGATGGGGATCTCATAGATTGTGTTCTATCTCATCGTCAACCAGCTTTCGATCATCCTCTATTAAAAGGGCAGAAGCCATTGGTATTAACTTAACCTCTTCTATAAGCTTATTCATATTTTTCATGGGGTTCTTAGAAATTGTAATTCTAAGCAGAGCAAGTAAAGGAGAACTCCTTAGAAGTTTACAACTTTTTTTCCTTGAACTTGAATTTTCAGGATCCACCTGAGAGACCCAAAGGCCAAACTCCTCCCGGTATGGTCACTGAGAATTTTCAGCGATGGACCATGTCTGGTACTCTCTGCCCGGAAGGAACAATTCCAATTAGAAGAACAAGAGAGCAAGATATGATGAGGGCTAGCTCTGTCAAAAGATTTGGAAGAAAATTGAGAAGGCATGTCAGAAGAGATTCATCCAGCAATGGCCATGAGGTTAGTGCTTGTAAAATGAACATGTACCAGAGCAAATCCCAGAATTTGTCTCCAAGAGTCACTATCATATAATTTATTTCAGTCAATTAGTTCTTTATCAGACCAAATTAAAGAAATGAATGAAAGCGTGTAGGTACAACAAACTGCTTTTTTTTATTTTCCATTTTTTCTCAATTAAGCCATCTTCTTTTTTATATGAGACCAAAGTCAGTGATCCACTGCTTTTGTCCACTACCTTTTTTTTTTTTGTTTTTTTTTCCCATTTGAACTGACATGTAATTTCATAAAAAACAAACACAAATTTCTCTCGGTATCTACAGAGAAACTGGGTTTCCAATTTCCATACTTGTCTGCTACTTAAAGCAACATAGAAAACGTGGTGCAGCTGATGTTCTACATCCTATTAGTAGTAATTACAGACTTTCATGGCTGCTTTTGCTACTGGAACTTGCACTAATTTTCAAGGAAGTTGCACTCACCAAGTTTTCCTGTCCTGCAGAATTTCTTTAACACATGAAAATCAAATTAGAAAAAGAAAAATTATTATAAACCCAACAAAGTAAATAATACTTTCATCAAAAAAAGTAAATAATACTTTACACTACTCATTTTGGTTTTTGTGTTTATGGTTATTGGGTTGCTTGCAGCATGCAGTTGGGTATGTGAGTGGAGATCAATATTATGGAGCAAAAGCTAGCATCAATGTGTGGGCGCCCCGCGTTGTCAATCAATATGAATTCAGCTTGTCTCAAATGTGGGTCATCTCTGGTTCATTTGGTGATGACCTCAACACCATTGAAGCTGGTTGGCAGGCATGTTTATATCTCATTTACTAAATGTTCCCTCTAATTAAATTAAGCTTGAAATTTCTCGATTTTATTCTTCCAACTGCATTTAGGCCAATGAAAAAGGGTCTTGACTCGTAGACTAAACTAGTAGTCTCAAGTTCGAACCACCCCTCTCTATTATAGTTTAGACTATCTCGCTTGTATTCAAAAAACTATAATCTAAATTGGGTTGAGTTTATTTTTTACAAAAGTATTATAAAACCAATAATTGAATTGATGAAAGCCACTGTCTAATGCTTAATATCATGGAGACAGAGTAATTGAACACATTTAAGACCAAAACTTATTTTCACATTTAAAGCAGTAATCACAGCTCAACCACCTCTCTTTCTTTTCTCTTGTGTACTTTTAACCATGGAGGCTAATTCATTTAATTTTTCTGCAGGTCAGCCCAGAGCTATATGGGGACAACTATCCAAGATTCTTTACTTATTGGACTGTGAGTAAACAAAATCACCTTGCCTTCAACTTCAAGCATAAGATATTGTTAGTTTATAGAACATAAAATGATTCTCTTATTAATTGCCAGACGGATGCATATCAAGCAACTGGGTGCTACAATCTGCTGTGTTCAGGTTTTGTTCAGACCAATAGCAGAATTGCCATTGGAGCTGCAATTTCTCCAACTTCATCCTACAGTGGTGGACAGTTTGATATTAGCTTATTGATTTGGAAGGTAAATTACTTTTAACCTTAATTAAAAACCTTTAAACCTGCATTTTGTTTTTTCCCAAAATTTTATGTCTTCTGCTTAGATTTGCACCTTACTAGTTAATTATATCAGCATAGATGACACTTGACCGTGCGATTTGTATAGTTTCCTCCAACCATTGAAAAGTTAAAAAGTCAACAAATCTGACGGTCAGTGACAGGCCCTCCACAAATTTACAAGTGTCCCATGTGCTAGAGAAGCCATGTTTAAGGGTCCTAGCCAAAATGCCTACACTGCAACAAGCCAAAAAAAAATTTACCCAGAAATGACAAAAAGAGAGAAAAAGAAACAAATATTTTATAATATACATACGTATATTGTATAGAATATAAAATCATGATTGGCTTATAAGACTGGTTAGTCTACAGGCGTGCCTGCTACACTGGTAAATTCCAAAATAATGGACTGTAATTTCGTCGTGCTTTTCCTGCTTTACCAGATTCTCTTCTTTTACAAGAGAAAGAGCTTCTTGGCTTTTCTTTTTTCGGTTTTACTCTCCTTTTACTTCACAAAAAGAATTGCTTTGTCCATAATTCTCACTGCCCACAAGCTTTTTTGTAATCACCATGCAAATGGGTTGTAATTAATTAGTATAATTAACAAACAACTAATCATTTTCATTTATGAAATTATGAGCACTCAGAGTGAAGAAGAAGATATATTAAAAGTGTATTAATTATTGTGCATAAATACGCAGGATCCAAAGCATGGAAATTGGTGGCTGGAATTCGGGTCCGGGGTCCTAGTTGGATACTGGCCATCATTCTTGTTCACTCATCTTCAAAACCACGCAAGCATGGTGCAATTTGGTGGAGAAGTTGTGAACTCGAGGCCTTCTGGTTCTCACACCGCCACACAAATGGGAAGTGGGCATTTTGCAGGTGAAGGTTTTGGAAAAGCTTCCTATTTTCGAAACATGCAAGTTGTGGATTGGGACAATAGCTTAATCCCATTATCAAACCTTAAAGTTTTGGCTGATCATCCAAATTGCTACGACATACAAGGAGGGATTAATAACTTTTGGGGGAATTATTTTTACTATGGTGGTCCTGGAAGAAATGTGAGGTGTCCCTAAGGGAAAAAAGGTATAGAGCTAGGGTTTTATATATTTACATAATATTCAATATTTCCTTCTTTTTTTAAAAAAAAATTTCTTGGGTGATTTGGGTTAATCCATTGGCAATTAAGTTTGGGGTATTCTTGTATTTGTCTTCCTTGTTAATCCTTTCTCTCTCTCTCTCTCTCTCTTTCTTTTTTTTTTTCCTCCCAACTAACAGGTGATCCATTCATTATACCACCCTTTAGTGACTTATGTAAATTTTGGGGAAGAAAAAAAAAATAGTGAATATACTACGGTTTGTCATTTTTTATTTTCTCTCTACCTTTTTTTAGAAGATCTTTCTTATTGAGAGATGCGATAATCTACAACACTCACTCACACACACTAAATGGATATTAGGACTCGAACCCAGGATCGTGATGGAGAAGCTTAATAGCTATGATTACATTAACATGTAGGTCCACTTAAAGGAAGATACATTAATTAGTCTTATTAAAAAAAGATAATTAAAAGTTGGTGTCCCATGCGTAGCCAAGGTTACAACTGTGAAGCTGAAGCTGAAGCTTTATCTATGGCAATGGCATCATTAGAAAGAGAAAGGATGTTGGCCAAAATTACAGGTCGTGTGAAACTGCGTTCAGAGATTATAAGTGAGCTTCCTTGCCTTCAAAGACAGCACTGTTTCACACACACACAAAATCAATAAACTAATACAAAAACGTACTTAACCAGAAACCTTCCGAAGATTAAGTTATAATTATGACATAGATATATAGTACCAATGCAGCATATTTTTCTGAGTCAGTCACCACCTTGTTTCGTGTTCCCACATGAATTTGTCGAGACTGCCTCTGCCTCCTCCATCTCCATCTCCATCCCCATGCATGATTTGGGTTTCAGTCTTTTTATTAAAGTTTACTTTATTTATTAATAGTCATAATTAAGCTTCATCTAATTAAAGAAAAAAAGAAAAAAGGTGTCGACACTATCATATAACCCAAGATTCCCTTCAAATCAAAATCGAGTCTAAACCACAACAATAACAATGAATGATGCCTTGCAGGCTGCACGCTGCAGCACGTAAACAACATAGAAAAGAAAAGAAAAGAGCTAAAGAAGCCCCAAAAAAATCCATTCATTATACCACCCTTTAGTGACTTATGTAAATTTTGGGGAAGAAAAAAAAAATAGTGAATATACTATGGTTTGTCATTTTTTATTTTCTCTCTACCTTTTTTTAGAAGATCTTTCTTATTGAGAGATGCGATAATCTACAACACTCACTCACACACACTAAATGGATATTAGGACTCGAACCCAGGATCGTGATGGAGAAGCTTAATAGCTATGATTACATTAACATGTAGGTCCACTTAAAGGAAGATACATTAATTAGTCTTATTAAAAAAAGATAATTAAAAGTTGGTGTCCCATGCGTAGCCAAGGTTACAACTGTGAAGCTGAAGCTGAAGCTTTATCTATGGCAATGGCATCATTAGAAAGAGAAAGGATGTTGGCCAAAATTACAGGTCGTGTGAAACTGCGTTCAGAGATTATAAGTGAGCTTCCTTGCCTTCAAAGACAGCACTGTTTCACACACACACAAAATCAATAAACTAATACAAAAACGTACTTAACCAGAAACCTTCCGAAGATTAAGTTATAATTATGACATAGATATATAGTACCAATGCAGCATATTTTTCTGAGTCAGTCACCACCTTGTTTCGTGTTCCCACATGAATTTGTCGAGACTGCCTCTGCCTCCTCCATCTCCATCTCCATCCCCATGCATGATTTGGGTTTCAGTCTTTTTATTAAAGTTTACTTTATTTATTAATAGTCATAATTAAGCTTCATCTAATTAAAGAAAAAAAGAAAAAAGGTGTCGACACTATCATATAACCCAAGATTCCCTTCAAATCAAAATCGAGTCTAAACCACAACAATAACAATGAATGATGCCTTGCAGGCTGCACGCTGCAGCACGTAAACAACATAGAAAAGAAAAGAAAAGAGCTAAAGAAGTCCCAAAAAAAATATAGTCAAATATATTTTTGCATGAATAAGACTTGTTTCTTAAACTAGAGAATGCGTGGTGGAAACACGATATAATCAAACATGACATGATGTCACATGAGGTGGGTCTTTTATTTTATTTGCGCATTGACTTTCAAAAAAGTAGATTCAAATGATCAAATCTAAGTGCCTATCTATCTATCTATCTATGATGATGTGAATGTGATGATCCAAGTGCGGCCTGCTCTTCGTTCTGCTATTTCTCATCTAATCAGCTCACTAACCGTACAGGTGGTGACAGACAGTCACTGACATCAAGGACACGTCGCTGATGCAATAGATTGACATGTGGCATAGCAAAAAGCTATATCCATACGAGAAAATACTTCTTTACCTCCGTTTCATTGCTCAATTCTCTCCATTCATCTTCTCATGTCACTTACCATATAGAACATATAGAAGGTGAGAAGAAAAGTTATATCCATACGAGAAAATACTTCTTTACCTCCGTTTCATTGCTCAATTCTCTCCATTCATCTTCTCATGTCACTTACCATAAAGAACATATAGAAGGTGAGAAGAAATAAAGAGTGGCAAAATGAAACAGGAATACGAAAGTATTTCTTATATGCACAAACAGCTATGCTCATTTTACAAGAGTTCTCTTTTGTAAGTACGGGTCAAAATCAAATCCAGCATAGGAGAGCTCAGATAGGGTTCTGGCTTTTCTTGGACTTGAGTTGACTGTAAATTGGGCTTTTATAGAAAGTGGGCTGATGCTAGAAATGTTTTTCCAAAAGTGTTTTTCATAGAACTCAGCATTATTAGTGCAAGCCTCCGACAACCGGGAGCTTCTATAATGAGGGTTTATAATGAGGAGGCTATTTGAGGAGGCCCATCTCACCATCAAAAGGGGTGTGGAGCCCCCAATGCACCCCCCCCATGTGCTTTGTTTTTTGTTGTTGATGGTGAGATTTCCCCTCCTCAAATAACCTCCTCATTCTAGCCTCTCCACCAACAACCACATTGAGTTGTTGTATCAAATACCACATAAACCATATCTATGGTCTTCTGTTTAGATGAGAAAAAATAACTCAAAATTTTAGCTAAAAGTTAAGAATTTAAAAAGAGAAATTGACAATTTCCTTGTTTGATAACTTAAGCATGGAATTTATTAGATGACACACGAAAAAAAATCATGGAAATTGGGGCATCAAATTCTCGAGTTTAATTTCCACCTAAATAGGCGTCATTTCACAATTTTCATAGTGCCATTTACAAGATTCGAAGTACATAAATCCAAACACTAAAATCTTCAATTGTCAGAAATTGAAATGATAGAAATCTAATTTTCGTTATTTTCGAGTTCTATGTAATTTTCAATTCCTTAGTCCAAACAGAGGGGGGAAGTAGAGTTTGATTGGCCCTTAAGCCACTAAACATTTTGATTCGCAAAGCCCACTTTGGAACTGTAAAACACAGAATAAACTAAGAATTGAACCCAAGTATCGAATTACAACTACAATCCTTCGATTACTTGTTACGGTGTAGAAAGGAAAATTTTATTGTGAGAACAAAAACCCCCCCAAGACCGTTCAAACTTGTTTCCTAAAAATTGAAATTCTGAAGAAATGCATATGGGAGATCAACAAAACTCATTCCACACAGACGGCCTCAAGCAACTTTTTAGTGGCTTCGCTCACCTCCAATTTCTCCATTTTCAACCGAGCGCGCATCGAAGGGGTTGTTTTTCCAGCAGCAGCATAAGTTCTAATCAATGACTCAAACACCTCAACCCCTAGGGAATCTACAGACTTCTTCAAAATCTCCAAGAAACCTTCTGCACCATCAACATCCTTCTCTTGCTCAAAATGCTCCATCAAGGTTTTGACAATCTTACGTGATGGACTCCACTTCCCGCCATCCCCTCTACCAATGGACGTCGCATTGGCAACACAATCAACAGCCAACTGATATTCTCTGGTCTCCAAATAATAATCCAGAAAGATCTCCCAAGTTTTTGCATTAGGCTTGGCACCTCTCCTACGGGCCTGCTCCTTGAGCTCCTTAGCCTTCTCTAGCATACCCTCTTTAGCATAAGCTCCAATCAAAGAATTTGCTACTCGAATATCATAGGTTGAGCACCGCGATTCCCATTCCCTGAAACATTTCTCTGCACCTGGTAGATCATTCAAGTTAACCAAAACCTGGATTATATTCAGATAACTTATATTTGCAGTTTTAGGGAAAGCCAGGTAGCTAGAAACAATGCTCTTTAAATTCATAATTTGAGGAACTTTTGATGAAGAACAAAAAACGTGGCAAATCATAACCAGTAAAAATTTAAGAACGTGGAATTGCGGACCTTGAGAGCGGGGTAGTAGAGCTTGCATTCGCGAAGCTTCTTGAGGGTCTCGCCGACCTCCCATTTGTAAACTCGCTTGCGGCTCTTGAGGACTTCATTGAGCTGCTGACGAACGCTCACCTCGGAGCCACCATCCTTGAACAGCCTCAAGTACAGAGCTTGCTCCACATACTTAGTTGACCGCTTCGTCACGCTCTTAGTGCGCCCAAACTGTTGCAGCGCCATTGGATCTATGAAATTAGGGTTTTGCGAGAGTGAGGAGAGTGACAGAGAGGGGTTTTGCTGAACAAAAAAAAGAAAATGAAAATGAATCGGGAAAGTTAATTTTGGGCTTGGAATGTAATTTGGGCCTTCCACGTGGTGGGCTAAGTAGGAGCAATTTTGGGCCAGGGACAGTTGGGCCGTACTTTTGCATTCTCAAGAATCATTAACGCGAGACGACGACGTTCTGGAAATTGGATTAGGAATTTTTAATCATGAATTGCGTCACGTGATTAACCTGGTAAATGAGGCGCTAGAAGTATCTAGGATAAAGTGGATTCTTCTTCTCTGGCGACTCGTCATTTGGCCTTTACTTTCCGACTTTCAGATTTGACGCGGGACTTTCACGTGGCCCACGTATCATAAAAGCAAACCCGTCGTCGCTTTCCCGTATCCGTTTCTGGTAATTCAATTTTTAAATTTTGCGACCTAAAAAAAAAGAAAGAAAAAGAGTTTAATTAATTTCATCCACAGAATTATTAGCTGGTTTATATCTCTCGTCTCGATAAAGGAGGTTGCTCAAGTACTCATAATTAAATACAACTACTCCTAACTCGTGGCTCTGATTTGGTTGGTTGGTGAGATTATATTGAGTAAAAATATGTATTAAAAATTGAATTTTTATATTGATGGTATGATTTTATCACAATAATTTAGATTACTTGTGGAATTAAGTTGTATTTAAATGTTGAACACAATAGCGAAACATTGTCAAAAGATCCTAACACTCAAATGACGAATACAAAATTTGATCAACAAATCCTAATCTCATGAACACGAGTCATGTTACTCATATTTAGATTTTGTGGTATAAGTCTTTGATTTAAGGGGGATGATGAATTTTGTTTTTGGTTTAAAAAAATCCAATCCAAAAATTTAGTTTAACTGCCAAACACGAAATTAGACTAATACCTTTTTGGGCAATAGCGAATGCCATTAATAGGAAGTTTAGTGATGGATGGGAGTTCCCTACCGCCCACCAGATGTATTGGTTTCGTGCAACGCTCCAATGAAAACGAAACTTTAAAAATGATTTTAAATATTTGAAAGTTTTGGTGGCGTATGCATCAAATGATCCAAATCGACCCCCTTTGGACAACAAACAACAGCGCTAGTGTGACAGGTGGGTCACCGTCCACCACCAACGTCTCTCGGGTCTGCTCTGCTGGCCGCAGGGCCCAACTTGGTTTATTTATTTATCTAAAATACAGAGTCATAGCCAACAATGAATTTGCATGTGCACCAATCCAAACCATTACTTTACTCTTTCGAAAACCCCACCACGTTTAGATAAGACGTGCAAGATACGTCCCAATAATTCCGTCAACATATATCATTTTTTAGCTTCTTGCATACTATACTAATCCTTAGAGCATCTCCACCCACAAGGGCTAAGCCTAGGGCAAGAGCAAGCAAGGGCTGCCACTATTCACGTGAATAGTATCAGCCTTTGCATTTGTGGTTCCACCCATGAGGGCTAAGTCTATGGAAAGTCTAAGGCAAATACTATTCATTGTACTTTATTTCCTATTTTTTTTATACTTTAAACCATTAATTTTGATAATCTTTTGTAATTAAATTTTCGGATAAGATTTTTGGTTGTCACGTGTCTATTATTTTTCAGAAAAGATTTTCGGATGAGAATCTCGGTTGCCACGTGTCTTATTCCAGGCCGTAGCTTCATTCGACACTTGGGTTTGGCATGCCTTCTTCGGGGTTGCCGGATCTCAGAATGACCTCAATGTCCTTGGTGGTCAATCCCCAGTGTTCGACGAGGTATTGCGAGGTCATTCCCCCCAGGTCACGTACCAAATCAACAATACCGTATACTCTAGTGCGTACTACCTTGCCGACGTAATTTATCCTAGGTGGACGACATTCGTGAAAACAATTTCGAATCCCCAATCCGAGAAGGAAAGAAGCTTTGCTTCCTTTCAAAAAGGTTACAGGAAAGACGTGGAGAGGTGTTTCGGTATCTTGCAAGCTCGTTGGGCAATTATCAGGGGTGCTGCTCGGATGCTAGATGAGGAGGTGCTGCGGAGTATTATGATGACTTGCTTCATCCTCCACAACATGATTGTGGAGGATGAGTATGACTACGATGCTGCAGAGGTATTTGAACCCGATCCCTTGAACACGGCGTTGACAAGAATATATGAAAGGCCGATGGGACCAAATGGACTACCAATGGAGCCCGAACTGTTACTTCGAGATGGTCAATTCAACAACCCCATGATTGATCGTTATCAAGAAATGCAATCTTCATATGTTCATGAGAGACGTCAAGTTGACTTGATCGAGCACTTGTGGGAAAGGAAAGGCAATCACAATGGATGAAGTCAAGATTAGTGCTTTGTTTGGAATTATGCTTTGTTTTTAATTATGCTTTATTTTGTGTGTGGTGTTTTTTGGAATTATGCTCGTTTTTTTATTATGCTCTTATGTATGGTTTGTTTTGTGTGTTGTTTGCAATAAATTAAGGTGTGTTTTTAATTAATCTTTGTGTTGATGCTCAAAGGTTTTTAATAAATAGTCATATTATTTAATGCTTTGTTTATTGAATAAAAAGGAAACAATACAACAAATTAAAGGATAATACAACAATACAACAAATTAAAGGCTAATACAACAATACAACATATGGCAAAGGTGTTTCAATACAACCTAATGGTTTTCATCATTTAACCAATCCGTATTGCTAGGTCCGTCGTCTTGGAAAAGTTTTCTTCTCATCACATCCCTTCGTCTTAGCTTCCAATAGGCCTTTGTTTCAGGAGACATATGGCTCGTATCCATGGCCATGATTTTCATCTCTTTATCATCCATGTCTTTTTCTTGTGCCTGCTGCTGTTGAATTGCAAATGCTTCCTCTCGTGCCATGTCCAATGCATCTCTTTTCAAGTCTCTCTCAATTCTTAGCGAGGTGTTCTTAGCTATTTGCTCCAATAATTGTACACATTCATTGTTCGAAGTGCCACCTCTCTTGGCATTTGCCGCCTTTCTCCCAATAGTCTTGGCGGACGTGGAAGTGGTGACTCCGTTTCCATTGGGGAGTCCAATGG